CCCTGTATCTTCAACAAGAATAAAGATTTCTTGTGTTTCTGAATCATTTCTTATGTTTATGTGGAATCCTCCAGAGTAACTACCATAGTGTTACATGTATAATCAATAATTAATAAAATCTTGCTGACTAAAAGAGAAGTTTCTAATGCTATGGTCTTCTTTTTGGGAGCACAATAACTTTTTTTTTTTTTTTTTTGAGTTGGAGTCTCACTCTGTCACCCAGACTGGAGTGCAGTGGCTGCTCCTGGCCACCGCAGCCTCGACCTGCTGGACTCCGGCGATCTTTCTGCCTCAGCCTTCTGAGTAGCCAGAATTACAGGCATGCGCTACCACGCCCGGCTGATTTTTTGATTTATTGTAGACATGAGGTCTCGCTTGCCCAGGCGGGTCTCGAACCCATGGGCTCAGGCAATCCACTCACCTCAGCCTCCCAAAGGCACGGAATTACAGGCTGAGCCACTGAGCCCGACTAGCACAATAACTTTTAACAAAATGTCAATGGAGACCATAATGAATCCTAGTCAGAATTTATCAACCATAATAAGCAGAATCAGTATATTATATGTAGTCATTAAATATTAAAATATTAAAATAATAGTGTATTCAACAATATTTCACAAAAGTATTTTAAGGAGTAAGCCTTTATTGTATATTACTTGTTCTTGTTGGCAGCTAGTGCACTGGGTTAGCTGTTTGTTAATAGTGTTTATGCTGCTGTGTGTCTTTTTTTTTTGAGTTGGAGTCTCACTCTGTCACCCAGACTGGATTGCAGTGGCCGCTCCCGGCCACCGCAGCCTCGACCTGCTGGGCTCCGGCGATCCTTCTGCCTCAACTTTCCAAGTAACTGGAACTACAGGCGCGTGCTATCACACCTGGCTAATTTTTTGATTTTTATTGTAGAGATGAGGTCTCGCCAAGTTGCCCTGGCAGGTCACGAACCCGCGGGCTCAGGCAATCCACTCCCCTCGGCCTTCCAAAGCACGGGATTACAGGCTGAGCCAACAAGCCCGCCTACTGCTGTGTGTCTTAACTGTTTAAGCTGTGAAAATGGTGATAGAAAAGGGTGATTAGTTTTAGATTCATGGCTTATAGAAGAACAGCAGTTGACAGATGCAGCTATCAGAATGAGATAATTGAGTAATTTAAGTCATGATTCATTACTCTCCATTTAGGGGATTGTTAATATTTTAAAATTTTGTAAAAAGTTTTTATATATAAATCTATATAAATATACATAATTCTATATAGAAGCACAAATCTGAAAATTTGCATCCTTATTTTTTAATTAAAACCTTTTTTCTTCTTTTTGCATAGCATTCTTTCCCCTTTTTCCCCCTCATTCTTCCTACATTGGTGTGTCTTTATCCCCAAACCATGCAAACACCCTAGTGTATATCCTATCTTTTTTCCTGCACTCAACATAATCCCATATCAATGCATATGTACACACAAACATAGTGCATTTTTGGCCATTGAATTATTATTATTTTGAGTTGGAGTCTTATTCTGTCACCCAGGGTGGAGTACAGTGGTTATGGCTACCGCAGCCTTAAGCTACTGGGCTCAGGCTATCCTTCCGCTTCAGTCTTCTGAGTAGCTGGGACTGCAAGCATATGCCACCACGCTCTGCTTATTTTTTTGGTTTTTTGTACAGACAAGATTTCACTATGTTTGTTGTTTTTGTTTTTCTCACTCAATACTTAATGGAATCCCTCCATTTCATCTGATATATGACGGTCCCTTCATGTCATCTGACATAACTCTTTTTAATGACTGCAAACTACTTCATGGCTTGTATGTACTATAATGTATTTTGGCATTTCCCTCGGTATTCTTTTCTTGCTTTTTCATTCTTCCCTTTTTTCCATTATGAAAAATGCTGCAGTAAGCATCTTTTTTTTACATGTTTTATATATTGATGTGTATATTTCTGTGGCTATGGTTCTAGGAGTGGAACTGATGAATTAAGGAGAATATATATATTTAAGGTCAATAGATACTGCTGTCAAATTGCCTTTTTTTTTCCTTGAAGAAATGGTCTCACTATCTTGCCCAGATGGGTCTCAAACTCATGATCTCTAGTTATCTGTCGCCTCAACCTCCCTAGTAACTGGGACTATAGACACACATTGCCACACCCTCAATTGCTTTTTAAAAGACTTCACATTTCTTTTTTTTTTTTGAGTAGGAGTCTCACTCTGTTGCCCAGGCTGGAGTGCAGTGTCATGCTCACAGCTACTGCAGCCTCGACCTGCTGGACTCAGGCAATCCTTCTGCCTCAGCTTTCCAAGTAACTAGAACCACAGGCATGTGCCGCCACGTCTGGTTAATTTTTTGATTCATTGTAGAGATGAGGTCTTGTTGCCCAGGCTGGTCTCAAAACCCTGGGCTCAGGCAATCCTCTCACTTCCGCCTCCCAAGTTGCTGGGATTACAGGTGTGACCTCACATTCCTGCCAGTTATGTATAATATCCTTTCCCCACTTCTCTGCTAGATATTGGTGTAATATGGGTACGAGGTGATAGCTCATTGTTATTCTAATATGCCTCCAATGAGGGTCTTATTTAGGTTTCTTCACAGGTCAGTGGGAATAAGCCCCACAAAAACTCAGCTTCTTTGGGCACCAAAGAAACCCCTTCTTCTTAAAATGCCCTGGGAGACATAGATATCAGGGACAAATACAACAGTTCCCTTAATAGTAAAAAGCCAGGCAATGGGTTTCTATTAATGTCCAGATGTTGCATAAAACTGGGTTACACTGGGAAATAAAGCTGTGCATCTGTGCAAAACCTTCTTCCCTAGACTTCTAGGCAAATTACTTTGCTGCAGAGATAATTTTTCTGGGGAAGTTTACCACAGTGGGAAGCAGATCACATCCAAGAAGGGATTATATTTTATATACCATATTTCACCGGAGAATTGATGCCATAATACTCTTTTATGTAATAACTAACATAATCTATGTTGTGGATAGTTTTTATGATTGTCCTAGTCTTTTTGTGCTGCTACAATGAAATATCTGAGACTAGGTAATTTATAAAGAATAGAAATGTATTTTCTCACAGGCTGTGAAGTCTAAGATCAAGGCACTGGTAGATTTGGTTGTCTTGTGAGAGCTGCATGCTCTGAAGGGAAGGAACCCTGTGTCCTCACATGATGGAAGGGCAAGCCATCCCAAAGCTGTGTGAAGCCCCTTTTATAAGGGCCTTAATTCCATTGTGAGGGAGGAGCCCTTATCACCTCTTAAAGGCCTAGCCTCTTAATATTATCACATTGGCAAAACCTCAGTTTTGGAGAGGACACATTCAAACCATAGCATTAATCATAAGTTTCACAGTAAGAATAGCTACTATATATTGACTGCTTCTTTTGTATTAGGCACTTTAAATAGTTATCTCATTTAACTTCAACAGCAATCCTTCAAGTTAAGTAAAATTTTACTTTGAAACTATAACTAGTTGATAAATACTGAAGTTAGAGTTCAAACCTTCAACTTCAAAGCATCTGATTATTAAACCATAGAGTCTTTTAATTAGATACAGTATGAAAGAGTATGGATAAGATTCATGAATAATTTTTAACCTGATTTTGACATACATATAGGTCACCACAGTCTATACTTATCAATACCAGGGGCTAATTTCAGTTTAAGTTCTTTCCACTTACCTTTGTCTGGTATCTGGTGATGATGATAAATAACATTACTAAGAGACAATAATTTGTGAGTATCTGTTAGCTGAAAGGCAGTGGACTAGATGCTTTGGGTATCTGATAGTGTCTATTGAATAGCCATTGGCTACAGCCCTGTTTTATTTTGTGGCCAAAAAAAAAGAGTAAGAAATAAGATACTAATCCTTTTTTCTTTGAAGAGTTTAACATTCCACTAGATACAGTAATTATGCTACAAAATAAAAGGAAATTGTATGTTGAAGGTGGAGTGATCAGTTTTTTTTAGGTTAATCAGAGAAGGTTTTGGGAATAGGTTAGGTAAGTTTTGAGCCAGTTGTAAGATGATGGACTGAACAGGTGGCAGGACTGAGTTTCCTAAAAAATCTATACTCAAGAGTTCATTCCAATTTGGAATGTTTCATAACTTTAAAAAAAGGGGAAATGTTTTATCACAATACCTTCACTTGAAATTCTAAATTGAGGATTGTATTTGATCAAACCCTTTTTTTTAAAGAATCGATGTCCCACCAAATTGCCCAGGCTGGTTTTGAACTTGGACTCAGCTAGTCCTCTTGCCTCCACCTCCTAAAGTGCTGGGATTATAGGCGTGAGCCACCATGCCCGGCAGTCAAACCCTTTTCTAGTTCAAAGATCAAGCTCTTTGCTCTGCTTTCCCATGTGCTTTGATTGCTTAAATTTATGAGGGTAGGGTTTAAATGATAAGATCTGGATTCAGAAAATAATTCTTAGTTTTTTGGTGTTTTTATAAAAATATAAGAATTAGAGGTGATTTTGAATTGTTCCTTTTTACCTAGTTTTATTAATCAGAAAAGTTACTGCTTCCTGACATAAAGACTGATGTATTAGCAGGTCTAGAACCAGTCATGGCTTAAATTCTGACCAGATGGAGCATTTATCTTGAGAATTTGAGTCTCCCCCCGCCCCCACTTTTTTTTTTTAGCGACAGGATCTTGCTCTGTCAGCCAGGTTGGAGTGTGGTAGTGCTGTTATAGCTCACTGCAGCCTCCATCCTGAGCTCCAGTGATCCTCCTGCCTTAGCCTTCCAAGTAGCTGGTACTATAGAATGGGCCTCCCATATCTGGTTAATCTTTTAAATTTTTTTTAGTGATGGAGCCTTACTCTGTTGCCCAGGCTGGTTTTGAACTCCTGGGCTCAAGCTTTCTTCCCACTTTAGCCCCTGAGTAACTGGGATTATAAGTGCAAGCCACTGCGCCTGGCTCTGAGAATTTGAGTCTTAAAAAATTTGAGAAATCCAGGCTAATTTTTTTCAAACACAATTATGTAACCACTTTTGAAATTTTAAAAAATTATCAGTTATTTAATTAGGTTCTTTTTAAAAGAAATTTAGAACACTTGTTTGTGAGGATAAATGCCATTCATCAGGGCAAACACAGATTGCAAGTAGCCCTGGAGCTGAGGAATAGCTTTGATTTTTGGTAAAATTTGCAAGTCCACAGCTTTCTGATCAATCTTGTGCTGCTCTGTAATCTCATATTTTTCTTTTTCTGTGTTGAAGATCTCATCCTCCTGGTACCTAGGCTTCTGTAACTGTTTCTTCTTGAAGTAAGCATCAGCAAGTTGTTTTGGGATTTTCACATTGCTGATACCAGTTATTGTGGAGGTGGCAGTGACAAATTTCTGGTGTGTTCTTTGCAGAGGAACTCGATTGAGGAGCAGAGGTCCAGTCACAAGTAAACAAGCCATTGCCCAGTTGCTTCAGGAAAACCACCCTCTTGCCTCTGTGGCATCCAGTGAGGATGATCAGGATGGTCCCAGGAGTGATGCTAGCTTGCAGTTTTCTCTCACATCCTGACTGAACTGCTTTTTACCATGATTTAACAGCTTTCAAGGCACATCTTCAGTAGGATAACATCTAGGCATTTTGCCAAGTTTAACCACTAGAGTACCACCATTCTTATCACCACCAACTGATTTGGTAATAATTACAAGAACCTTCTCTCTCTCTCTTTTTTTTTCTTTCAACTTTGGATTTAGCAACTGAGTACTTCCTCTTGTACGTGACCTTTCGGGAATACATAGCAGATTGGGAATATCTTCCAAACCTCTCACAAGGATAGGATTTTGGCTGCAGTGGGACTTCCCATTCTTTTTAGCCGTGGGGTTACCCTTTTTTACCTTGCCACCAGTATCAACCTTCTTGACTTCAGGTTTCTTTTCCTTAGTATTTTGCTTTCCAACTTTTTCACCTCTCATCTTGTAAGATGGGAAAGAGCCACTATTGAATTTTTTTTTTTTTTTTGAGTTGGAGTCTCACTCTGTTGCCCAGGCTAGAGGGCAGTGGCACGCTCCCAGCCACTGCAGCCTTGACCTGCTGGGCTCAGGCGATCCTTCCTCCTCAGCCTTCCAAGTAGTCGGAACTACAGGCATGTACCACCATGCCCGGCTAACTTTTTGATTTTTTTGTAGAGATGAGGTCTCACCAAGTTGCCCAGGCTGGTCTCGAACCTGCAAGCTTAGGCAGTCCTCTCACCTTGGCCTCCCAAAGTGCTGGGATTATAGACATGAACCACTGCACCTGGCCAACTTTTGAATTTTTAAAACTAATTTTAAGTTATAAAATATTTGTTTTCTTAAAATAATGAACTTATGCAGAGAAGACTGTTCACCCCCCAATTCAGTTTTGAACTTTCTTAACTTTACTACTTACATTTAAAGCTGTAAAATTCATAATTTTTATCTAAATTTAACTATCTTTTGAATGGGTTCATGCAGCTTTAGGTAGTTTTTTTTTTTTAAGTATCCTGGGAAATGTTGATACCTTTTTTATAGTAGTCTTGATAAAAATTATTATTTGTTGTTGAATATTATCAGAATGTTGTTAGTGTATGTGATAAAGGACACTCCACTCTTTTAAAAAAACATTATGAAGCATTCCAAATTGGAATTGACTCTGAGTATAGTATACCTTTTAAGGAACTCAGTCAACTTCATATCTTAAAGGGCTAAAACTTCCTTCAGATTCCCAAAATACAGACACTGTGTTAATAAATAACTCTCCTATTTGTCCTGTTTTTGTGTGTATCATGTGGACAAGAGGATTGATATCTGTGAAGCAAAACATATAGCCCTAGTTTATGATTGGTGCCTGGATACTCTGATTTCTAGAAAAAATGTTTGGATTTGCAGAAGAATTAACATGCAGTGTCCTTGCCTCAGAGAAAATGAGATAGACTTTTGATCGAGGAGTTCTGATAGCCTTTGACTTTGAATGATGTGACGAATCAAAGACAATAAAGTAATGAGAAAGCCAGCAGAAATATAGTTTGATTTCATTTGGTAGTTTGGTTTTTTATTTTTATTTTTTATCAAATTATGTATTTTATGATTTTGTTGAACTGGCTGGTGATATCTGAATCACTAAAAAAAGAGTAAATGGGGCCGGGATCAGTGGCTCAGCCTGTAATCCCAGCACTTTTGGAGGAATTACAGCCTTGGAGGCCAAGGCAAGTAGATTGCCTAAGTCTGCGGATTCGAGACCAGCCTGGGCAACTTGGCGAGACCTTGTCTCTACAATAAATCAAAAATTAGCCGGGCATAATAGCACCTGCCTGTAGTTCTGGCCACTTGGAAGGCTGAGACAGAAGAATTGCTAGAGCCCAGCAGGTTGACGCTGGGGTGGCTGGCCGTGAGCGTGCCACTGCACTCCAGCCTGGGTGATGGAGTGAGACTTGTGCCACTGCACTCCAGCCTGGGTGATGAAGTGAGACTCCAACTCAAAAAAAAAAAAAAAAGAGTAAATGGTGGTACATTATGAGCTGATCACAAGCAGTTATGGTGAAGCACAAGTGAACAGGATTTCTAACCTTGTTAGCCTTAGCCTTGTTAGGTCTCCTGCACCTGAAGGGAAGAACTTGCCTTTGTGGTTTCTTTAGGCTCTTCTTACTAATAATACACAATATAGCCAGGAGGTCTTTAAGTGGACTGGAGCAGAGCAGGGGTACACAGATTGTTCAGAAGCTTCACTAACTGTCGGCTTTCCTGTGCATTGATGTGTGACTGTGTTGTGTGTGTGTATGTGCATTGTGAATGTGCAGAGTGGAGGAAGATAGCAAATAGTTGTCTTCTGTGGCACTAAGTAAGAAAAAAGATCCTAGGGTTCTCTGGAAGCATGACAATTAAGCATGATAATTATGAGGACAGGGGACAGTCCTCATAAAGGAGATTGTAAACCACCAATGAAAGAAAGCAGTGCAAAAGTCTGCATAGATTTTTATTTAACTAAGGTATAAAAAAGTATAGACTTTACTTGAAAATCCTGTCCAGGTTGCCTCTGCTTCTTAAATTCTTGCGTTTCAACTGAAATATCACACTCTAAGTTTCAGTGCAAAGAGACATTTATGGGGAAAGTTCAGTAAAATTGGTTTGACCCTTAAGGTCTGGTGTCATAAAAAAGACATTTTCTTTCTGGTTTATGTCTGCATTCAAAAATCTTTTCTTTTTTTTTTTTTGACTCGGAATCTCGCTCTGTCTCTCAGGCTGGAGTACAGTGGCATGCTCATGGCTACCCAGCCTTGACCTACTGGGCTCAGGTGATCCTTCAGTCTCAGCCTTCCAAGTAGCTGTAACTACAGGTATGCGCCACCATGCCCAGCTAATTTTTTTTATTTTTTTGTAGAGACGAGGTCTTGCCATGTTGCCCAGGCTGGTCTCAAACCCTTGAACTCAGGTAATCCTTTCTCCTCTGCCTCCCAAAGTGCTGGGATTACAGGGGTGAGCCAATGCGCCTGGCTTCCTGCAAAATTTTAAAATAATCACTGTTGCTTTCAGAGTCATTTGTAAGAAATAAGCATCTTAAAAACAATAGTTAAAACATTTTTTAAGCCGGGCTTGGTGGCTCAGCCTGTAATCCCGTGCCTTTGGGAGGCTGAGGTGAGTGAATTGCCTGAGCCTGTGGGTTCGAGACCCACCTGGGCAACTTGGCGAGACCTCATCTCTACAATAATCAAAAATTAGCCGGGCGTGGTAGCACACGCCTGTAATTCCAGCTACTTGGAAGGCTGAGGCAGAAGGATTGTCGGAGCCCAGCAGGTCAATGCTGGGATGGCCATGAGTGTGCCACTGCACTCCAGCCTGGGCAACAGAGTGACACTCCAACTCAAAAAAAAAAACAAAACAAAACAACATTTTTTTTTTTTTTTGGCTTGGGAAACATATTGATTGCTGTGCCTCTTTTGCCTTGGGAGACATGATTACTCAGGAGCACAACCAGTTAGAAAGTTCTCCTTTCATCTTGGTGTTTCTTTTTCAAAAAGTTCTGCTTGCAGTAATGGTCAGTCCACAGTGTGCTCTGGCAACTCCACTCCACAGTTTTGTGTTCAGACTTCTTATCAGTACTTTGTGTTGTCTCTGCTTTTTAAATGACTCAGGATTGGTCAGAGATTCAGAACAAGGAATCCTGTGAGAGATTGTGACTGGCTCCGTATTTTGGGTGATGGTTTTTATTTAATTTACTAGTTCACGTAATGTAGGCAGATGTTAACAGTTTGAGAAATCCTAAAGGAGTGTAAGTTCCCAGCGTGATATCTTTACAAGAAAATGGTGGTGAACTAACTCACTAAAATGTGAATTTAGTAATGTTAAACAGATCTTTTTTATACTTTGCACCTCCTTTTTCCTACCTTGTGAGTATTTTGTCTGTGTTGTGGGATTTTATGGACTGTTTTATAAGTAGAAAATTAAAATTTAACAGTAATAAAATAAAAGGGACAATTGGCTGTACATTTTCTGTTGACCTGACATGCTAGTTATTGATTTTTTGTCTCATGAAATTCACTCTAAAACTGTATGAATTTGGTGATATTATTTCCATTTTCAGGTAATGAATAAAAACTCAGCTATGTTAATTAACTTACCCCAAATCAGACTGGCAGTAGATAGTAAGAGCCAAAATTTAAACAAAGGTCCGTCTGATATCAGGTGCAAGTTCTCAGTCACTATATTATACTACCTTTATCCTGCTTCTAAGGGGTAGAAGATACGGATAGGTCTTGGGCAGACAAAAGCCATCTGGTTCTCTTGGTTGCTCTGGTGGTTTATTTTTTTAATTTTTTTTTTGAGTCAGAGTCTCACTCTGTCGCCCAGACTGGAGTGCAGTGGCCGGGGGCCGCTCCCGGCCACCGCAGCCTCGACCTGGTGGGCTCCAGAGTTCCTTCCGCCTCAGCCTTCCGAGTAGCCGGAATTACAGACATGCACTACCATGCCCAGCTGATTTTTTTGATTTATTGCAGAGATGAGGTCTCACTGCCCAGGCGGGTCTCGAACCTGCGGGCTCAGGCAATCCACTCACCTCAGCCTTCCAAAGGCACGGGATTACAGGCTGAGCCACGGAGCCCGGCTGGTGGTTTATTTTTTTTATTGTCTGTGTCTTCCTTCTTTCCTAGCATCTACCATATACCATATATATAATACACAATAAATGTTGAATGAACAAGTATACACAGTTAACCATGGAAAATAGAAGTGTACTGACAGTTTGTTTGTAAAATTTTTGTTAAGTATATGTTATATTTGCAAATATAGTAAACAATTCCATTTTAGATATAGAAGTTTTTGCTCTAGCTACTCTTTGTAGAGATTAGTAACATAGCTGAAAACCAGGACTCCTGGCTCCCAGCTCAGGGCTCTTTTTTTTTTTTTTCCTTGTTATAAAGACAATAGTTTTTTAATGTAGAAAACTTAGAAGATACAGATAAACAAAAAGGAGAAAAAAAGTAAGATGATTCTGTTCTCACTACCCAGATACTGATCATCCTTCTACTTTTTTTCTGTGCATATATAGAGACATGCATATATATATGTGTTACATAATTGTATGATAACAGCTGGAAGTTACTGAATGCTTATAGAATGGGCACTATTCTAAGTGCTTTACATGTATTAACTCATTTGTTACACTAATTCTGAGGTAAATACTATCATTCCCAGTTGGCAGATGAGGAATGGAGACAGAGATGTTAAGTATCGCAAAGTCACACATCTAGTAAGTGGTAGAGCCAAGATTTTAACCCAGGCAGTCTAGCTCAAGAGCCTATGCTCTGGTTCCATTTTGTTGCATGTTTTGTAATCTGCTTTTTAAAAAAATTGAGGTCAATTTATATGCAGTAACAGTCACCCCTTCTAGGGTACAGATAATGAATTTCGATATAAGGTAAACCACCACCACAGTCAAGATACACAGAATATTTCCCATCGCC